CTCCGAGGATCCCTAATCCAACAAGAAGTTCACGATGACCTATTTGCTTAACGTGGGCCCCCTGTTGCAGCCGCGTCGGGGGGTGGAAGGGGGGGAGGGGTGAAGGGGGCGGGGGGTGAAGGGGGCGGGGGTGAATGGGAAGGGAGGGAGGGAGAGAAGAAAAGGGAGTTGGGGTGAGGAAGATGGAGATTTACAGAGAGGAAGGGAGAAAGAGGAGGAGGGAGGGAGGGAGGGAGGGAGGGAGGGAGGGAGGGAGGGAGGGAGGGAGGGAGGGAGGGAGGGAGAGAGAGAGGGAGGGCGAGAGAGAGAGAGAGAAAGGAGAAAAAGCGAGAACGAAGCGAGCGACAGCAAGAGCGAGAGCGAGAGCTAGAACGACAAAGCGAGCAAGAGAGTGAGAAAGGTGGAGGAGGAATAGGAGGAGTAGGAGGAGTAGGAGGAGTAGGAGGAGGGGGAGGAGGAGGAGGGGGAAGGGGAGGGAGCGAACGGGAAACAGGAAGACGAGCGACGAAGCAGAAGGATCGAGGCAGATTTCCGACCGGCATTTTCCCTTCCTGTTTCTCCGGAGGATGTTGACACGGGCGCTAATGCCGCTCAAGGTGTCAATACGGGCTCGGCAAGTGTGCGGGGGAGGGGGGAGGGGAGGGGAAGGGAGGTCAAGGAGGGGAAGGGAAGTCAATGGGGGGGGAGGAGGGGGAGGAGGAGGAGGAAGAGGAGGAAGAGGAGGAAGAGGAGGAGGAGGAGGAGGAGGAGGAGGAGGAGGAGGAAGAGGAGGAGGAGGAGGAAGGAAAGAGGAAGACGAGGAGGAGGAGACAGTATGGAAAAGAAGGTGAGGTCAGAAGAGAAGGGAGGAAAGAAAAAAGGGAAAGAAGCAGGGGGTTGAGGGATAGAGGACGAGAAGGGAGGGGAAGAGAAAGAAGGGGAGGAAGAAGAAAAAAGGGAGGGAGGGAGGGAGGTGGGAGGGAGGGCGAAAGACGGGAGGGAGAGGAGAAGTAAAGGGAAGAGAGCAGAAAGGAAGAGATAAGTGGTTGCGGGAGAGGAATGGGGGAAGAAAGAAGGAAAGGAGAAAGCTGGAAGAGGAGAGGAAAGGGGATGAGGAAAACAGACGAGGGGAATAAATAGAGAAGAGAGTGGGAGGCGTCATGAAAGGAACGGAGGGGGGGGATCGCTATCATGCAATCACACTTGCAAAACTAAAGTCACAGTACGTTATCAAATTTCATATCATTCGCGCTCGTCACACTAATCCTCTCGACGAAACTATTTTTTCTTTTTTTTTTCACACCATGATTTATTTTCATATTTCATTTATATTTTTAAATTCCACCCCCAAAGCTGGTGCCATGTTATCCCCGCTCTTTTAATCCCGTGAATTATATCCTACACTTGCTACATTTATTACCGGTTTGTGCATCCTGCTTACAGGCCGTAATATCCTCCGACAACCCCCTCCCCCCCACCCCCCAAGCCAATAACACCCTTGCTCTACCCAATAACCCTACCCCTCTCCCCCTGCCCTACCTAATTCCCTACCCCTCCTCCCCGACCCAACACCCCAACCCCCCCCTGCCCAACCCCATACCCCCACCCCCGCTCTGCCAACGCCCCATGACGGGAGTTGACACGAGTGCTGGCAGTGCACACTTTAATGGCACTTGGTGTTCCATCCCGTCGCCAGAACATAATCTCTAAAACAAATCACGATCACAACAACACCTAAAAGGAAGTATATTATATTTCAGTTCTTTGCAAGGGGAAAACTCGTGGACTTTCCTCTTCACTTTAACTCAACATCCCCTTTCCTTCGCACTTCCTCTTGCCTTACTCTTTCTCCTTCTTGTTTTTTTTCTCTCTCTCCTTTTCATTCTATCCCTATACTTCCCTCCTCTGCCAACCCGTCTCTCAACCTACCCTAAACTACACTGCACCACTCTACACTAATCTTCCCCTCCTCTCCTTTCCTTTCCTTTCCTCCCGTCCCCCTCCCTCCCTCCCTCCCTCCATCTCCTCTTCTTTTTTCCTTTCCTTTCCTTTCCTTTCCTCCCATCCCCCTCCCTCCCTCCCTCTCTCCCTCCCTCCCTCCCTCCCTCCCCTCCCTCCCTCCCTCCCTCCCTCCCTCCCTCCCTCCCTCCCTCCCTCCATCTCCTCCTCTTTTTTTCCTTCCCTTTCCTTTCCTTCCCTTTCCTACCCAAGCTTACCTTACCCTACACAAAACTACCCAGCAACACCCCACCTTACCCCTACCTCTTACCTTACATTCCCCGAACAAACGGAACCGCCATGAAAACTGAATCCACAAATAAAATAATCCACTCACCAATGACGTTGTAGAACTTGGTGACGAGGCCGGAGATTTCGTGGTAGTCCCTCTCGGCGTGGTGCGGCTTGTACTGAATGACGTAATACGAGATGTCTCCCGGGCTGACGTCATAGTCCCATGTGATCCGCACCGATGTCGCCATGACGTCACTGATCATGACCTGGTCGGGAGGACGCGGCAGAGCTGTTGGGCGGGAAGGGGGGGGGGGGGTTAGGTGGTGATAAAAGCAATAATATAATAATAACTAAAATAATGGTTATAATGATAACGACGATCATAACAATAGTTATGGCGGTGGTAATAAGAGTTGTCATGACAATACTAATAAAATCTAAATTGAATTACCCATATAAATCATTATCATGATAATGGCAAAAGTAATCAACCACAACAAACAAACAACAACAATCACTATACCCAGTCACAAAAAAGTCAGTGCCAAAACACCTAAGTCTACCACATGAAATTCCCCGCAGACCCGTTTTCTATCACAGATCCCAACGGCACTAGACTCCAACAATATACAATCAATCAATCGTTAATCCCATTCAATTTCATTACAAACCGTCTTTACTAATGGCATAATCCTAAAAAAGTAAATTGATAAATAATTAATAAACAAAATAAATAAATAAATACAAATAAACAAAGAAATAGATAAAGAAAAAGGAAACCAAGATACGAAAAATGACAATGCCCAACAATACTTAGAAAATTTTTACAAAAATGATTTTATTATAAAAAAGCAAAGAAAAATTGCACATCGTAAAAAGCCTAGGATGATACGGAACGAGAAAAATGATTAAAAAGAATACTTTCATCTAGAGAGATTAATGACAGACAGAGCAATCAAAGAGGAAAGAGTGAAATAAATACAATGGGTACAAAAAAGAGAGGAGAGAGAGAGAGAGAGAGAGAGAGAGAGAGAGAGAGAGAGAGAGAGAGAGAGAGAGAGAGAGAGAGAGAGAGAGAGAGAGAGAGAGAGAGAGCGAGAGAGAGATTTGATCGAACAGAGAGAGAGAGAGACAGAGAACAGACCATATCAGGAAGCAGAGAAACAACACCAACGAAAAAAAAAAGCAGGACGGGAAAAAGCAGTGCCGAGAAGCGCAGCGGTCGTTGCACCGCTGCCGGGAAAGCAATCCGGAGAACATTGCAACTTGAGAAACGCGAATATGGTAATCCGCGCGCCAGGTATATGATAATCCACAACACATGGTTAAGGCGCCTTGCGAAGCCTTTATGGAGATCATGAGCGCTTTGCAAGTCACGAACCGGAGGCATTTGCACAAGCGCTCGTCCGCCGGAAGAAAAACTCTCCGGTTATCTTTAAATTTTCTCCTCCTCGCGCCTACGCCTCCCACTTTCTCCATCTCCCTCCCGTTCTACTTAAAACCTACATATGATAAATAAGACAAAAAGAAGAGAAAGAACGAGAGAACGAGAGAGAGAGAGCGAGAACGAAAACGAGAGCGAAGGAGAGAGCGAAGGAGAGAGCGAGAGAGAAGAGAAAGAGAGACAGAGAGGGGGGGGGGATAGGATTCCCGAATTGCTTAGTAAATTAATAAAACAATAGAAGCAACAGTCTGATTGATTTTTTTTTTTTTTTTTTTTTTTTTGCGATCTCTAGTAGAAACTCGCACACTTCCAAAAAATCCTAACCACAAGAGGATTAAATATTACGATCTTTTTTGTTTTGTTTTCCTTTTCTGTTGTTCCTTATCGTTGCATTCTGTATGCATGAAAATCGAGCATTTGAACTCGAGGAATTAGAAACGGAATGAAAAAGAAAAGAAAAGAAAAAAAAATACTGACAATAATTTTGCAATCAGATAGCAAATACTTTGCAATATGCAATGCCGCCGTGCTTAAATATTCTCCCCGTGCTTTATGACAGAACATGTGATCAGCAACATTTTGCAATGGTTTCCAATCTCAGCATTAATTGATTCGCCATGAAATGAAGAATCCTATCGAGAGAGAGAGAGAGAGAGAGAGAGAGAGAGAGAGAGAGAGAGAGAGAGAGAGAGAGAGAGAGAGAGAGAGAGAGAGAGAGAGAGGAGAGAGAGAGAGAGAGAGAGAGAGAGAGAGAGAGGAGAGAGAGAGGAGAGAGAGAAGAGAGAGGGGGAGGGCAGGAAGGAGGGGAAGGAAGGAGGGGGGAGGGGGAGGGGGAGGGAGAGGGAGAGGGAGGGGAGGAGGGGAGAGAGAGAGAGAGAGAGAGAGAGAGAGAGAGAGAGAGGAGAGAGAGAGAGAGAGAGGAGAGAGAGAGAGATGAGAGAGAGAGGAGGAGAGAAGAAGGAGGGAGAGAGAGGAGAGGGGAGGAGAGGAGAGTGAGAGAGAGAGGGAGAGGGAGAGGGAGAGAGGAGAGAGAGGGGAGAGAGGGAGAGGAGAGAGGAGAAGAGGGAGAGGGAGACGAGAGAGAGAGAGAGAGGAGAGAGGAGAGAAGAGAGAGAGAGGAAGAGAGAGAGGAGAGAGAGGAGAGAGAGAGAGAGAGAGAGAGAGAGAGAGAGAGAGTGAGTGGAACCCAAATAGCACCAGAATAAGAGAAAGCTGCAATGGCAGGCTACCTAAAAAAAAGCAAAATAGCACGCAAGCAAGCAAGCTAACCCAAGTAACAATTTGCTTTTCGAGAGTCGGTGTTCAAATGGCACAGACAGACAGACAGACAGACAGGCAAGCGAAG